GCAGAATATTGACATTCTGTTCTTCTCCTCAAAATTTGTGTTCTACTGCTCTTTCACCACTCTTTCTTCTACTTCTTCACTTTCTCTTCTCATCGAACCTGGAATCTCTTAGTATTCAAGACTGAATAGCAGTCCTGAAAACCTACAGATGCTGTGGCTTGTATTTTATTATTTTCTTTTGCTTTGAGATTTGGCCTTCATCTTTCCTATCCTGGCCTCTCTTTGCCCAAGGGCTTTTGGTATTGTACCTTTTTATTAATGAACTATCTTGTTGTAAAAGGAATAGAAAAAGAAAATATGAGAAAAATACATGCATACTTCCAATATTTTAAGCTAGATTCAAGGTGAGTTTTGGGACAGTGATAATCTTTTCACTAGATGTAAAGTGTAATGAGTCTAATGACAAGCCGCTCAAATGTCTATTCCTGTCACTCTTCTCTGTGACAGAGAATATATATATGTCTCAGTTTTCTATTTGTTCCTATCTTTGTTTTGGGTGATGCCTCATCAGCTTGCTTTCTTTTGTAATTTTTTTTTTTATTTTAATAAAACTTTCTTTTTATTGATCTTCAAAAAACATTGTTGTTTTAAAATGTTTGACAGTTGCAACCTGTTATCATTTATTATATTTACCAATGTTGAGTATTTAAATGGATGATCTCTAGTTGAAATTTGTTAACAGGGGCAGACTAAGGAAGCTGGGCACCTGGGCTAGCGAGAAAATACTTTTAGATGGACAAGTAATTAAAGGGATCTAGGATGGAGAATGATGGACCTACAGGTTAATAAGCTTGATATTTAATTACAGTCAGTAGTACTGGACATTCTAAAGTAACTGTAGCCTGTATGTATGCTAAAAGTGGTGTGAAAATGAGTTTAGGTAAGGTGTATGCTAAGCGTGGCTGTGATAGGATTAATTTCTCCTGGACCTAGGGAATTAACTAAGTGGATGATTTTAGCTTTTGGGTTTCTCTGCCTAGCTATGGGAGTAAGTATGTTTTTGAGAAATTGAAAATAAAAAAGGCTCACTTGTTTGAGGATGAAATATGTCCAAATAAAGCCTTGAATTACGTTTCATGTAACAGGAGACCCTACATTTATTCTGGGGGTCAAGGAGAAGCACAAACCACGGGATACTGTAGAGTCACAATATTTAATCGTCATTCATTACTTATCAAAATAAAAAGCACAGCATAGAGCTTTATCTAAGGTGTGGTCAATCTACTGGGGGTCCTCTATTAGTCGACATTATCTTTATGATTGTAACTTATTGCTATTGGATTTACTGCCCATCTTGCTTTTTATTTTTTGTCTCATCATCCCAACCTTTTAAGTTTATGGTCTCTATATTTATTTTTCCTTTTTTATTAATAAAATTCTTTTTACTTGTTGCTGATTTAAAAAAAAAGGATCAGCAAGCAATCTCTCCAATTAATTAGTCTTCTTGAATTGTCAAGGTATGCTACTAACAAAATAAATGCTATGAAATTCTATAAAGAAAAATCTGAAGCTATACTTACGTTATATACTCTAGGAAGGTCGATAGGGGCTCTGTCGCTTGGCACAACATGTGTTTATATTCATCAACCAGCTTAAGAGTGCATTTCTCCACAATTGTAGTTGTATGCAAAGGGGAAGGCTCTGCAGGAAGCTTATAAGAAATCAGTGATTTAAATGGTACAGGAAATTCAGAGAGACATTTGTCAAGATTAACATTGGTGGCAAAGACAACATACAGCAGCCAATGTGGAACCTCAAATGTACAAAAGGACCTAATAAATGGGACCAAGTAGTCCAGATCCAATTCAATAGGCAAAGGGCATAAAAGATAATAAATATACTTCTTATTATGAAGGTGATACATTTTTTTAACTATAGACCAATGTTTTACACTGTTTTGTACTCTGAGAAGTTAAAAATGGTTTTCCCCAGGATTATTGTATCATCAATACCTTTTTTTTTTTGATGAATATCATCAATACCTTTTAATGGTATTAAGAAGATCTAGATATTTATATGCAATAAACTTTGGTACAGAATTAACCCATAATAGTAGTGTTGAAGTTCAACCTGCCCTAGAATTCTGTCTTGTTCGTTGACTGTAAAGTAAAGTAAACAGCAAGAAGTAGGAGAGGAAAGAAGAAGAGAGAAAAGAAGAAGAGAGAAAAGAGAGAAGGTCTGGTTCGAATTAGAGAAAAAGTTATCCCTAGATTCGGCCAGACCTGTTATTATATTATTAACTTATTGGAAAAGACGTAAGTGCCCTTATTTAAGTAAGAGGCACTCGAACTAACATAACAGTACACATC